AGGATACAGGTAAGCATCTAGACCTTCTCAACTGACTTATGTAGCAGAGATGATCTAGTGATACAGTAAGGGTTGCAGTACAGAGGGTTTAAATAGGCAACACTCTAGTTGGGTTGCAGGTATGACAGCTAGTGTAAAACTATCGGCAGACTATTTAATTAGACACCAAAAGTGTACGTGTGACTAGTTGTACTCTCTAATGTAAGATGACTTCTTTGAGGCCTTGGTCATGAGTCCCTATATCCTGACTATATTGAATAAAAAGCCCTAGCTCCAAAAGAAGCTAGTTTAACAAAAAAAATATATATATTTTACAATATTAAAAATATTTTTAATTTTAAAAAGATTAATTTTTTATTAAAGATCTTTTTTTATATTTATTACTTTTTTTTATTACTTTAATTTATATTACTTTAATATTACCTTTTTAATCAAATTTCTATAAATTAAATACAAATATGTTGATATTGTTCTGTTTCTAGAGAACTTATTTGTATAATTTTTTATATAACTAAACCTTTAGTACTGTTACTATTATATAATATTTATACTTTGTAAAATTAGTTTTTTTTCAAAAATTCTTATTTCAATTATATATTACATTTGATTTTTATTTACAAGACTCTGTGTTCAATTACTGGCTTCTTTTTTGAATTACAAAAGTTAAAATCTTTTAAATTTTGTTTTTAGTTGAATTTAAACCATTGATCTTAATTGTGAAGGTATAGAAGCTTAACCGCTAATTTATGAGACTCACACCCAATAAAAAGTTGTTTAGCTTCTCTAAATGATCATTTTAATATATTTTATTACAAACAGACCAAAATTTACTAAGATACTAACCAAAAAATAAAAATCAAAACAACTAAATTTACTATACCGAGTTAAACAATAAACTCAATGATAATCAGACTAATATAAAAATTTGACTAATTTGGTTACTAGTTTATGACAGTTTGCAAAAAGGTATAACACATGCAGATTATAATATCATGTGAAATCACAGATTTCAAACATATATGTTACTGACTAAAAATAATCGGTAAGCAATTTAAATCTCAGAAACTTTCTGATACCATCACGAAAATCACAGAATTATGCCTTTCCATAATAAATATATTTGGTAGAAAAGATTAAGTTAGTGTGATGAAAAAATTCAGCAGATCGACCAAAATCCGGGGTCGGAATAGACTCAAGTTTTACTAATAAAATGGTAGCTCACGTACCAAGTAAAGCTGCCCAGATGATAACTTTACTGTACTATAATTGAGTGGTATTATTTCTTACAGCGGTTTTCATAAATTCTGGGACACCTGATAAAATTTGCCGGGCATTATTTCGGCATAATAGATTAAACTTTTGGCAGCATTACTATACTTTATGTGTCGGTTCTATGAAAAAATCTATTCACATAAAAATTACAAGTTAGAAACTTTACACGTAAAGATTACGCAAATTACAATAATTTTCCACTTTATATATCAACTATATATATAAAAGAATTTTAGCATGCTTATAAATATATAAACTATATATAACGATAAAAGATTATTTTAGCATGCTTATAACATACATGTTTAGTGTGTTATCAAATTACGATCAATATATAACGTAAATTGTAATTTACACGTATGTGTAATTTATATATCGATCATGCCGAAATCAATACCTAATCCGGATCGGACGAAAAATCATTCGGCAAATTATGAAACCAGGGTCTATTCTGACTAGCGATGTTACTCAAACTATTTGGGACGTGATGAATAGCATCACACGATTTTTCAGCAATAACAATACAGAAGTAAATACCTCATGCGATATTATTCATCACATAATTTGGGACGTCCCAAATAATTTGAATAACATCGCTAATTCCGACCCTAAAGTTTGGTCGATCTGCTGAATTTTTTGTTGCTCCACTAATCGTAATCGAATTTTTAGCGGAGAATAATTTTTACATAAGAATCATATCGGATAACTTGCCCTCGCGTAATGCTCGAGTCTGTATATTGTTTATGAATACTTTTGTGCTTAATATCGATACTTTTGTAAAAAATATAACACATCTCGTGGCTGGTGTCAAGTATGTGACCCTCAGAAGACAACACAAGGATGGACATGTACGTACATATGTTACGTATATACGTACGCAACATGGATCAATTTAAGGTAATTAAAAATGTGCAACGCAACACGAGTCATGCTATGTGAGCACGTATGTACGTACGTACATAACAATAAGAGTGGACCGAAGATCAGTCGAGGAACCGCAGCAAAAAGATAAAAATAAAGTTATGACACTCTTGAGTTTGAATTTGAACATTACTCTCTTTGCCATTCCCATTTGTACGAAGCAATTTAATTTTTTTTTTATAATTAAGTAGTTTTTATAAACAAAATTTAAATCATTAAACGTAAGTTGTTATGGAAGATTCTTTGAGTTCTACTACTAAGTTTGTAGAAGTGCCTCGATTAGACGTAACTCAGGCAACGGAGGTTGAAATAATTGATAAAGTCCACGAACTCTGTGTTAAGCAAGGAATTCCGCTTGTACTTGAAAACTATCACTTAAAAAAGGAATTCGACGCAGAGTTATTTACCAAAGAATGGATTCAACGAAATTGTGGTGACCAAGGTATGTTTTGGTCAAAGTGTAGTTACTTTTACCGAGTAGGTTGGGTTACCTTCCTGAATACTATTTCTTCCTTCCTTTATTTCATTTATTGATAGGATACCTTTAATCTTTTTCCTTTTTTTTATTTAATGGAATAGAGATATCAGCTCGTGATGTAAATAATATATTGGATGAACAGATGAAATTATCGGATTATTTAGATTATGTTGAGAAAGTTTCAAAGGACACTGGATCTGTGCAACAGAAATTATATGCAAAAGATGTTACGTGTCCGATTGTGTGGAAAGATTATATCGGTAGTTTTTTGCCAAGTTATTTTAGGTATAACGGAAATAATGATTTAATGTGTAAGTATATTAATATCGAATTTATTTGAAACATCAATTTTTACGATTTCATTTGACTTTTCATCATAAATTTACAAATCTGAATTATAGCAAACCTGACACCTGATCTTCGAGCTGAGAATCTCATGATTTATATTGGAGTTGGTGGAACAAAGTGTGTGTTATAATATTCTTAAATAATAAATACTAATCTTTAATAAATGTTCTTATTCCTAAATGTTCTTATTTTTTTTCAAAAGTACTCCATTACACAAGGATATGTGTTCTTCATTCGGTCACAATATAATGGTTCATGCGGATCCAGGTATTTAATGTCTTTATAATGAAATTTTATTATCTTACGGTTTTATAATATTTTGGCTTTCTTTTTTATAAAAAAGATTCTTGGTCTACATGGTATATGATCGCTCGTGATGATAAAGAAAAAATGAGTGCATTAGTACAGGCTCTGGGTCAGGACGTCGATCTTGAGAATTATTACGTACCACTTGACATCTTAGAAAAGGCAGATTTTACTGTGTATCACACTAAACAATTAGTCGGCGACTTTGTTATGGTGCCGTCTGAATGTTGTCATGAAGTTATCAATGTGGTTTGTAAAAACATAATTTTATAATTTGTCTTCTTATTAATAAATCTTATTAATAATAAATGTTTCATTTGAATAATTGATTTGCTATTTTAGGGCTCTTGTACAATAAAAGTTTCATGGAACAGGATAACTCCTTATTCTGCGTATCTGGGTGTGATGGATGCTGTGCCTAGCTACCAAAGGTATGGTGGTACCCTTAAAGTTTTATATCATATGTTAAAACTCATCTCTCCTAAATACTTAGAGTACTACGTCCTGAAACGTACCAAATGAAACGACTTGTCTTCGAGAGTTTAAATAAATGGACTGAAGCGATATCCACGAATTTACGTTGTTCATCAGCTGACCATTTGTCTCCTAGTCTTGATTTTGTCACTCGAATCGAAAATGCTCCTGGCAGAGATCTTCGAACTGAGTACAAACTTTTAATAATCACGTACAAATATATCATAGAACAAGAATGGGTTTCCAATGAGCATTGGAATGATGGCGTTCATTTCCCATTGGTGAGTGATCCGGTGTCAAATAAATCAATTCTCTATAGGGGTGTTAGTGGCTTAACTTGAGGCTGATCATTTTCAAGCCGGATCTATAAACTTCTAGTTGTGGCTTGAAGTTAAGGTTCAACTTGTGACTAATTAGCTTTAAATAGATGTAAGGTTAATAAAAGTTGTTATATTTTATTACTTAAGCCATGGTTCAAACTATATTTTAACCTACGAGCCAAATATTATGAACCATTAAAATTTGTACCTTAAGCTTACATTCAAGTTGAGCTATTGTATTAAAGCCAGTAACATCCCTAATTACAAGTAAGTTGTTTGTTGATTATTATTTGGGTATTTATAGACTCCAGACAACAAATCACATATGTCATGCGATTTTTGTCATTGTGATCTGTGGAATCGTCACGTCCATTGTTATGATTGTAAAACAGAAGCTGGCGTTAATTACGACCTATGTCTTAATTGTTATGCAAATGGTCGTGCATGTTCTCATTTGATGCAAATTCGTAAAGGTAGAAAAATGAAACGACTTCGTAACGTTTACACTTATGCAAAAGATGCCTTTGAAAAAAAGTTTGGAAAAGATGATGAGTTAGTTGATCCTAATGACTTAATTAATGAGTAAGCCTTGTCTACATTAACTATATATATAGTGTTTATAATGAACTTTCTATTGTAAACTCTTTTATATTTTCAGTTCAGAAGCCACTTTGGCTTACATTCGTTGGAAAAAAGCTGACAGTGATGAAGATATGGTAATGTTTTTTTTTGTATATTTGTCATTATCTTTATATGTATTAATTATTAAATTATTATTTTTAAAGGGATCTCATGATTTAAAGTCAAAATTACCAGAGAAGGTCTATATGCAGCCATATTGGCCACAAGCTCCACAAGTTCGTCGCAATGATGATGAATCTGCAAAAGATAAATTAGAAAAATCAAGAAAAAAGAGGAGTCGTAAATCTAAACCTACGCAAGTTAATAATTCTGACAATCAATCTGCTATGGTTGATGTCAACGCTAAATCTCTACAAGAAAGTGATTTATCTAACTATGAATCCGATAGTCTCCCTACAAAGGTTCATACAGAAAAGAAAAAGTTACGCCAAGAATCTTTAAAATCTACTAATAGGTCTAAAAATAATGGTGAGAGGAATTCTTCAACCAGAAAAAGGAAATCTCATAAAGTGACTGACAAATCTTTGGAAGATTGTGAAACTGAAAGTTCCCCTGTTAAAAAGAAACAGAATCGAAGAGTTAATCAATCTTCAAAAGCAGACAGTAGTTCAACTAAATCTGTTGCTAAAAAGATTGATTTTCAGGAACATGAACAATCTTTGAAAGGTGATGAATCAAAGATTGTTTCTATTAATGGTGGCAAACGATCACGGAATAGTAAAAAGCATCAACCCGTTCTAAATAAACGAAATCGTATGACAAATGAAGGTGAATCAAATAATAATCATGATAGTGTTAACGGTGTTACAAATAATGATCAGCCTAAATTAGATGATTCAAATGTACTTACACCAATCGAACGTGATTTTGTAAGTATAACTTGTTTTTATTGATTTTATTATAATAAATAATTAAATCTATTTGTTATTAGGCACGATCGTGCCGTGATTTATACTTTGTTGATAGTGTTCTAAGCGCGTACATGAAATTGGAGGATCTCCAAACTCAACAACATCCTTCTCCTGCTGAGTCAAGCCTATAAATATTTTAACGTGTTAATGCGTATACTCCTCTTCAAAGAGTATTTGTTATTGTCGCGTTTAATTTTAAATTGTACATAGTAAATTCGATTAATTTTTTAAATAAATAGTTGCAACCAGATTTGTTTGCATTACGCAAATATGAAAGGATTATTAATTACCGGAAGGGGTGCGTTCCACGTTAGGAAATGGTTAGAAAATGTTTACATGATTTATAGAAAGTGTTTTATACGGTTTATAATGATAATACTTTCTTAGAGGCTTTTGCAGTACACCTTTGCTATGAAACATTGGCAAGGGAGGCATGAAATGTTTCATACTGGTCGATCAATCGAAAATAATAGAAACATGAATTTAAATTTTAAGGTTCAAAATAAATGTCTTAGATCCTATTGTGGGATAGGTAAGCATGTTTTTACTTGATTTATTTTTTGCTAACTAATTATTCAACTAAAACTTAATATAGTCAAATCTTCCTATATAAATGTATGCCCTTCAAATGCATATTCTAGTTCGATTTCAACTCTGGACTTTTATTGTGCCTTCTATTTTGCACATACATACATATGTTATAGCATTATTAAGAATTGTTTTATACTACATATAAGTAATTAATAAACTCTTTAAGAGTAATCAAGATTACAGTTTATAGTTATATAGTAAAATATAAAAATACCATATTAGGGTATGTTTAAAAAATATACTTTAAAGGTAAAGGATATAATTTATAAATATATATAAAATTAATAGTACTTTATTTTATTATTTTAAATTAAACAATATTTTATTAAAAAAACTGTTTTTATACTTTTAAGTAAAATTATATAGTAGATTTTTTTGATTTTAAAAATAACAAATTATTAAATTTGGATTAAAACTTAGTAAAATAATTATTTTAATGTTTATATTATATAAAGTTGTTTACGAAGATCATATGACACATTAACCAATCAGAATCTGGCATTTTATACACTTAGAAAAATTTGAGACGTTCTAGAAACTTTATATCAATATGGTTTTTTAACTTCTAAATTTTGATTATTATAAAATAGAAGTTTTTATTTACAAGTTATTTACAAGTTATAAAATTTTATAAAATTAATTGTAATTTTAAAAGATTTTATTAGTAACTCACTTTTATTATTAATAAAGTTCTAATCTATTATGCAAATTATATAAAAATGATTAATATTACTTTTTATCTTTAAACTATACATTTTATATATTTTTTAAAATATATAAACTGTTTACTAAGGAGTATGGTAACTTAGTAAAATAAATAAGTTGTTAATTTTCCAAGTAATAGGTTGGGTGTTCAAATTTTATCAACAGTAAAAATTTAAATAATTATCTATGTAATACTTATATTATAGTGACTGTTTCTAATAATTAGGTTAAGATATCTATAATGGCAGTTATACTAGCATAACTAGCAGGTTATGGGTCATTTGCATAACTAGTTATACAGGGGATTACAAATTAATATCAAGTGATATAAACTCTAGATAAGTTCTTGTGGTTGTATAAATTTATTGAAATTAAGAAACAAGAAATTTATTTAAAAAAACTTAAATAAAAAAATAATATAGATTTTTGATAATATTATTATAAAGGTTAGATTATTAGAAACAGATATCAATATTAAAGTATTTAGATGAACAAGAATTTCTAAAAGGTTTATCTCAAATATAAAATAATTCTAAGAATAAGACAATAATCTAAATATAATCTAGTAATGTTAATACAGATTGCAGATTTAAAGGATTTAAAATAGAACACTTAAGCAAAGATATTAGATATAACAATTAGTAAAAAATTTTAAATAAATTCTTTAAATAAGTAATATAGAAAAGTTATATATATAACTAATTATATATTCTTTTTGTAGTAGTTTATAGAATTATATTATTAAAAAAATTATTAATAAAAATCAAAAAATTAAAGAGATTATTTTAATATACCAAAAAAAAATAAACTGTTTATTAAAAAATATAATAATCTAGTAAAATAAACAGATTATTAACTTTTAAATAATAGATTTAATATTCAAATCCTATTTAAAATAAAATTTGAAAATTAATTTGTATTACAGTAACTGTATTCTGTTAATTAGTTAGTCTTATATAATTGTAATTCAAATACATTAATTTAAGTTTTATCTGTTATTAAAAACTCAGAACATCTATACAAAATGTAACATTACATATATATAAAAGAATATTCTAACTAATGTTATATAAAATTTTGATGTAAACTCATAATAAGACTACTAGGTATAAAAAACTAAAAAACTAAAAAGTCAGAAATCTATTTGAAATTATTGAATAAAGAGATACATAGACTTTTGATAATACTATTGAATTAGTTGAAGGTTATAAATTATTTTCAAAGAAATAAATTAGATAAATTAAATATAAAATATATGTAAAAAAGCATATAACTAACTAAGTTGCTAAATTTGCTAAAGAAAAAGAATATAAAAATATATTATATCAGTTTATTTGGATTAGTAGTTTGATCAAAATTTGTCAGTTCTAAATAGTAGATAGTAGAAGATAATGAAGAAGTTATTAGAAAATTAGGTACTAGAGTTCTAGTTTTTATTTTTTATTTTAAAAAAAAGAGAGGTATATTCTTTATTTCTTTATTAATTAGTTAATTTATATATATGAGATACATGTTAAAGAAATTAAACTAAGGATGATAAAAATAAGAGCTACTTTATTTTTGACCTATTCTTTGCTAGAATGGTCAATAAACCTCTAGTCTTTGTTAAGATAATAAAAAGAAAATTGTTCATAAATAATATAATATTGTATCTTTTCATTTAATATTAATATTGAGGTTGGTTTAGTTTTAGCTAGTATTAGAGGTTATAGTAATAATAGGATTAGAAAAACTGAATTATATTGTATTGTTCTAGAAGTAAATTAAAGCTTTTTTTGTATATTATAGTAATAATATTGTAATATATTAAAGAAGTATATTTATTTTTTTCTGGGCTATCTGGTTTGAGAGCTTGGTGGAACTTGAATTGAATACCAAAGTAGTAGGGATATGTTGTGAAATTAGTACCAGGGTTGGGGTGAACTCTACAAGAGCATAGTGGTTAAATGGTATACCCTGACCACCAGTATTAGTCTTGGCCATAGTGATATCAGGTCAGCTGTAAGAATAGGATACAGAAGATTCTGGAAGGTTTAGTACAAGGTCAAAG